CACAGCACAGCGAGGCTCCAGGCCGACTTCCTCCTCCCAGAGACGCCCAAGGACCTAGGAACACCAGTGCTCTCCCATCACCTGCCAGCGCATCAGGGCTCGAAATGACTTGCATCCACCTGGAGAGAGCTGGTGACCCATGTAGCCCAGGGCCTGGGCAGTTCATTGCTCCCTTATGGGTCCTCCACCTTCAAAGTGAGTGACAGAGAGCCCTCGCATCTTCCTGGGCCTCCTGCTTTACCAAGCGAGGTTGAATTTACAACTTCTTTCATAGCAACATCTGGCTTGCTTCCCACAAGTGCTTCCTCTGGTTTTAATCTTTTATCTAACGTCATTTCAGTTCCGTTTCCTGTGTCTCCTTTTTCCCTATTTCTTCTGGCATTTGGAGACGAGAGATGGGAGTCAGAGGACTTGTCGCCTGAAGCCAAGAGCTTGGCTTGGAAATGCAAGCGCCACCTGGGCCCTGCTTGGTTTATTTCTTTTAGGTCACAGAGCCACAAGGCTCAGACCCCAGCAAGCCGTCCGGGACATCTTGTGGCACCGACTCTCTGCACCCTTGTGCAAAGAGATTCAGCTGCCTCCCAACCCTAGGACACACTTGTGCCCTAACTCACCTGGATTCTGACTATTGCTGTTGTTGGGGCTTAAATACAAAAAGGTCCTGTGGGTTTTATAAATTCTTGCTAATGTAGGCCAAGCCAGGGGAGGGAGCACAGAGGCTGCGCAGTAGGCTGGCATTGTTTTGGGCTCACCCTGCTCTGTGGCCACCCTCAGGAAGGCCCTGCTCACAAGGGGAGGCTGGGTTAAGGCCTCTGAGAAGCTCCCCATCCTCACGTTGAAAATACCCACACTTCCTGCTCCTCTGCGGGTCTCTGCACAGACCGCCAGTGACTCACCTGCAGTGGTTTGAAAAGTGCCTGTCACCCGAGGCATCTCGAGAGCCCATCCTGTTTCAGATGTTATTTTTTCCACTCTGGGCTGTGCAGTGCTAGAAAAGCTGAATGCTTCAAGCCAGTGTTTGTTTTGAGTGCAGAGGGTAAAGGACGAATTAACTGCTGCAGCAGGAAGAGCTCAACTCTAAGAGGGGGGAAAAAAACATGTAAACAGTGTGGGGATTGAGTTTCAAAGCCCTTGTTTTGGAAAAGTTTAATGATATTTCAACTAATGTCAAACTGTCAAAGCATGGGGAGGGGCCATCTGCCTGCTTTGAAAACGCATTAGCCTTCTTATGTAAAAGCCAATAATTGACATCCAGGAGGAAACCCCGAGCTGCAGGGGAGAGGTGGCCTCTTAGAAGGCCCCAACGCCAAGTCCCTATCGCCATGTGCACTTCTTCAGATCTTGGTCTCTGACATGGGAAATTGGAGAGGAGAACAAAGGGGAGGCACAGAATGGTCCGTGGACAGAGAGGGTTGAAATACCAGGTCTGGTCTGCGCAGTGCATGGACCCGGCTCTGCGGGTCATGATGTATGCTAGAGCCAACCTGGAAGGGGCCATAATCATCAAGACAGGAGCATCACAAACAACTGCCAATCTCACCTCCTTCCTCCTGAGAAATGCAGGATGTGTCTGAGCTGCCCCAGGACAGGGCCAACGCTGGGCCTCTCCGGTTCCCTGCCTGACGGGTTTGCAGGCTGCTCTCTTCTTCCAGACTCTTCGTAGCCACTTCCTCTAAAGAGGGACCCTTCTGCGCCTTGGCAGTTCCCATTCCTGCTTCTCCTTTGGTGATTTCTAGAACTTTCTGGTTTCCAGTGCACAGATTCTTCCTCTTGTTCTCTGGTGTCTAAGGAGACTCTGTATCCTAAACCATACCCAGGCAAGGTGGACCTTGCACGGAATGAAGAACTATGTAGGCCCCATAACGCGAGTTGGGGTAGAGGAGAGTAGGCACCCAACAGACTGAGACAGGATCGGGGTGCCTCTGGTTGGGAATGACTGCTTTAGGCTTGGGTCCCCAAAAGTGGCCGAGTCTTCCTTGTTTGGTCAAGCCTCTGGCCACGTGGCTCTTGGAATGATAGGATTCTCCCTCCTTATTCTAGTTTGCATGCTTAAAACGTTGCTTATGGGAATCAGCAGAAAGTGCAGGAAAATCAGAAAGGGGCCGCTGGTGGGAAGCAGGGCAGGAGCGCCCTGAGTCCAGCTCCTAGTTCAGTTGGCACCGTGTGGAATCTGAGGGCCACACTGGCCGCAGGGTGCATGGGTGTTGGACAGATGCTGTAGACAGCCAAAGAGTTCTATGAAGAGGAGGGTTGGGCCTCGTCAAGCTCCTTCATGAGACATCTTACCCCAGAGCAACATCCTGATCCCCATTCCTTCCTCCCCAGCAAAGCCCCCACAGGGCTCGGGTCACCTTCTGCTGCCTCCAAATGTCCCGTTCAAGTTCTCCAAGGCTGAGGACATCTCATGGTGGTTGGAAGGGCCACCTGTGGGCCATAGATGTAGACAGAGAAACAAGGGTGGCAGTCAGGAGCCGGGAGCCCGGTGCTGCTTCTGATATTAAACTAAATTTGGACACATGATCCTGCCTCTCTGGCCTCACGTCGTTACTTCATCTGAAACCTAGGGAACTGGGTTTGACGATTTTCAAAAATATATTAGAAACTATTTGTCAGAAAGTCATGTTTTTTTAAAAAAAGAAATTGTGTACGTTTTTAAATTGACACATAAAAACTGTACCTGTTAGTGAGTCCCCTGCAATGTTTTCATATGAGTCTCCATTGTGTCAAGTTCAAACTGGGGGCGGGGCATTGCATCTTTCCACCGTTTGTTATTTCTTTGTAGTGAAACATTAAAAACCCTTTCTCCTACTTGTTTTGAAATACACAGTACTTTTTCTCTCTCTATAGAAGCCCCAAGGATTTGATGATTTCCAAGGTTGCTTTCAGCTCTCCCAGCGGTGGGGGGGACTTGTGGGGGACTTGTGGGGAGCCTGAACTGGCGCCCACTGCTTGAACTCAAACTCACATTGCCTCAGGCCTGGCCCTGTCCACACAGGCGGCTCTGCGAGGCGCTGGTGTTACAGCACACCTGCTCTGAGCGGGCACTGCTGTGGGCCCAGGATGCTGTGGTGCGGGGGCAGACACAGGGTGAGGGCGCAGGCCCTGGAGGTGCAGGGTCCCTGTCGCCCTTGTTCATGGCTGAGCTCCGCAGGGTTCTGGGCAGTTGCAGATTGCAGCTTCAGCAGCTCCTTTTGATCTTAGCAAAGCTGCACCCTGGTGCGCTCAGCTCCTCCTCAGGGCGTGGGAGCGCCTGCTTCGGGAGATCAGCAAGCAGCCCCTCGCTGGAGAGGTTTTCTGAAGCCTGTGGTCAGCATGAGGAGCGATGTCAGCAGGGCTGGGCTTATCCACCAGGGGCATGACTCACCAGCTGGTGGGCAGGTGAGGTTGCTCTCCTGTGAAAGAGCCCAGGGCACCCAGAAGAGGCCCTTTGGAAGGTGAGTGCCCAGGAATGCCTGGAGGATCAGGAAGGCACAGTTGAGGTGAGTGTTGCTAGGCTGATATTTGATGCAAATGACTCAAAGAAGAATTTGGACCTTCAGGGGAAACAATGCTTATTAAACAAGGGACATCAGGAACTGTACTGGCTGGGTGGGAGACTGGCATGGAGCCATGTTACCCAGGGTCAGCAGGACGAGGGGGTGTGGAGCACAGAGGTATGACCCTGGGAACAGCTAAGTGGAGTGAGAGCAGATCGAAGCAGCAGATTTCCCAGAGGTGGATTTATGTCCAGTCCCAGGGTGAATAGGTGAGGGCAGGAAGAGGAGCTGGGCTCTGCCTCAAGGTTCTCAGCTAGAAGGGAGCCTGTGTGTGTTTCTGTCAAATAACCTGCTGTTATGCCCTGAGGTACTCTCACAGGCAGCACAGAGCAGGGCTTCCTGCCTGTCCATCCATCCCAAATGTATTTTTCCACAGCAGGGCTCAGAGAGGGGCAGTCCTCACCCGAACGTGAAAATCTTCAGAGCTTGACACCAGGATGTTGGACCCCGACACTGGCCACTCTCTCTGACTTGCCTCTCCCATGTGCTTCTTGTGCTTCCGCCATGATGGCCACGCAGCCCTGAGCTCTCTGGCCTCCCTGCCTCTGCTTAGGCTTTTCCTTGCAGTTGGATCTCAATGTCCCTCATGCACTTTACCAGTCATTGTCAAATCCTTAGCACAGAAGTGGACTCGCCATGAGTAACGAGGTGTAAGCTTCAGGCCTTTCCCTGGCGTGGTCCCATCTGCAGACCTGGAGGCACCATGGTGAGGTCAGTTCCCATGGATGTGTTTTGTAAAATTTGCAAATGGAAGATAAACAGATTGAGACCTCTGTCTCTTTAAACCCGACTTTGTCTCCACACACTTCATTAGTTTCTTGTGGTGTTGAAGTGGCTTTGAACTTTTGGGGGATCAGGCTTAGGGAAAATTAAGTTGGGGAGACATTTAATTTAGATCTGGTGGAATACTGATGC